GGATGCACTTACACACTAAATAAATAAATAAATAAATAAATAATAAATAAATAAATAATAAATAAATGCAAAACAACTGCTTTAAATAGAGGGGAAAAGATATGTAAGAGAAGGAAATAATACATGCTTTAAATAGGGTACAGGCTTCACAAGACAGAGCCCTAAGAATTTATTCCTCCTTCTCAACTGTACTCCTGTCCTTTTTGTCTTGTTTCATGAGATAGCATCTTGCTATACAGCTCAAGCTGAAACCTTGTGATCCTTCTGCCTCAGCCCGCTGAGTACTGGGATTATAGGCATGTGACACCACACCTGGCTCCTTTTTATTGTCATAGTAATGGAGATTGAACCTAGGGAATCATGCATGCTAGGCAAGCACCTACCACTGAGATATACTCTCAGCCCTGTATCTTAACACAAAATAACACATGCCTGTCTCAAAAAAACATATAACAGGGGGCTGGAGAGATTGCTTAGCGGTTAAGAACACTGGTTGTTCTTGCAGAAGACCCTGGTTCAAATCCCAGCACCCACATGGCAGCTAACAACTGTCCGTTACTCCAGTCCCAGGGGATCCAACAGCCTCTTCTGACCTCCACGGGCACTGCACGACACCAGTGCACTTACCTACATGCAGGCAATATATGCATACACATAAAATTTAAAAAAAAATAAAATAAAATATTAAAAATAAATAAACAAGTGTTAAAAAAGAACATATAACAAAATATACTTTGCTTCTTTTCATTATATGCTTGGATACTGTAAGTCATCTGGAAAATAAAGGTAAGCTCCTCAAAAAGTTAAACATAGAATTACCATATGATCTAGCATGCCCACTTCTGGATATATACTCAAAAAAATTCAGTACAGTGTCTTAAATAGATATTTTTATACCCATGTTCACAGCAACATCATTCACAATAGCTAAGCATCCAATGGTACTTGAATAGACAAAATGTGATATATGCAGACACATATATCATTATATATACCATTATTCTTCTTTAAAAGGAAGAAAATTCAGACACATGCTACTGCTGGACAAATGAACCTTGTGGGACATTATGTTAAATGAAATCTCATGAAAGGACAAGTCTATAAGAGTCCATTTATTTGAGTTACTTATATTTGACAAACCCATAAGGACAGAGAGTAGTATGGACGTTGTCAGGAGCTACAGAAAAGGAGAAAGCAAGACTTGTTTAGTGGTGATAGGGTTTCAGTTTTGCAAGATGAAAAGAGTTCTAAATCCATCAGGGAGTTAGGGAGGGGTTCATGAGGTCCCATTCCTTCCTGAGGATTGACAGTTAATGTTGTTAAAGGAGAAAAAGGCATTTTATTTCCATGTTCATAAATTGATGCCAAGGGACAAAAGTCCATGATCCTATAAGTAAAACTAATTGAACTTATTGGGCCACACACACACAAAAAAGACATGGATGTAGGAGGGAGATTAACTAGGAAGAAGGGGTCCAGCAGGAGAAAGAGGAGGACAAGAGAGGATAATGGGAGGTGACTATGATCAAAATATACCTTATATTAAAATATAGTGAAACTCATGCATAATTGATATATGCTAATAAAATTATATCTAAAAATGTTCTGGAGATTAGTTATGCAACAATGTGAATATATTTACTACTGTGGAACCATATATTTAAAAATGGTTAAGAGGGTCAATTTTATATGTATTTTACAACAACTGTCACAATTAAAAAAAAAATGTCTGGGCTCCCTTAATCTAATTTGCAACCTCACTCTTTGGTCTTTGTCCCTTGGCATCAATTTATGAAAAAGTTCTAGTTAGTTCCATATTCTGATCTTAAATGAAACTAATCAAGAAAGTAAACCCTACTGTTATCAAAAAGCAAACCTCAAGGATCATTAATTGGTGCTATGCTCATTAGGTGAAAAGTTATATCTATCTCAAAAGAATACATAACACAATGTACTTTGCTTCTTTACATTATGTGTCAGGATGATATAAGCAGCCTGGATCATAAAAGTAGTTACGTTTAATTATTAGGTATTAGGATAGATGTGTGTTGCCAGACTTTTACCCCACAAATGACTTGCTAATTGCAAAAGGAAGACAACTTTATCTTTCACCACAGTGAGACCTGCTGGACATCATATTTCTGAGTAGTCAATCTCTGCACTGCTAATTGTGGGGCAACCTAACATGTACCTCTTGCTATGATGCAGTACAAACTACACAGCATCTCCTATAAAACTCTCTTAGCAAAAAGGTTTAGCGTGAATATAATCAAGCCAATGGTCTCAATTTTCAATTTATAAAAAATATAGGGGATACAGAAGCAAGTCAAAGAACACATGGAAATATTCTGTATGAAAACTAACCTGATTTCACAAATACAGGAAATTTTAATGTGGTCTGGTTTTTATGTATTAGTTTTTAAGTATTCTTAATGCTAACTTTTTTATATGTAATAATGGTATTGATATCACATAGGAGAATATTCTTATTCTTATGCGACACATCACAAAGAATTTAGAGGACTGTCACAATACCTACAACTTACTTTTATAATTTAGTAAAATAATGTGTGTATCAGTCGAGCAGGACCTGTGACTTATCTTCACATAGATGGAACTGGTAAAAGAAAGGAGCCAGGGGCTCTTCCCAAGCCCATGTGACCCCTGAGGAACAGATCCTCAAACAACCTTAAGAGTAAAATTAAACTGGTTTATCTGGACCAATTGCATGGTCTTAAACACCCAAAAGGAAAGTATAGCCAAAGATTAAAGGGATCAATATAATTCTTTAAGAGTTCACATGTATAGCTAAAAGCTACATAACAAGAAACAATGCCAGACAGGAGATACCATCCTTTGAGTTGTTGGCCAGGGTGGCCTTTTAAGTCTTTTAAGACTCCCAGACAGTAACCCAGCATAGAAGTGGGAAAATGAACAGCAGACCCCAATCTTACCTAAAGGAATATTGGCAACTGATTGCTGCTAGATAAGGAAGAGCTGATCTTCCTAAAACAAGGAACTCTAGATAGGCTGATTAGATGCAGTGGATGGACAAGCACTGGGGAACAGCTGGGGGCACTGACAACACAGTAGACAGAAACAGGGATGACAGACTATATGGGCTCTAGCAGGGTGGGGGAGGCTATGGGAGAGTGCCATTTGGGATGTGGGTATATACATGAATAAGACTGTTTGGGATGTTCTGTATGAAATACATTAAAAAATCAATAAATTTAAAAAATGAGTTATATTTGAGGAAGAACCATAAAAATTTGCTTCATGTTAATTAGTAGAGGTGATAAACACTACCATTGAAATCTACCTGATGAGTTTATATCCAGAGTCGGGTGCCAAGGATCTGAGTGTATTTTACTGTGACTAGTAATAATCAGATAATAGAGATCTTTAAAGGGTAAAAACATTCAATTTTATGTCTTACAGGGTTTATACTGAGTTCAATATTATATATCTATATTAATTCAACTGTGAACCTAAAAATTTACAGCCAATTTTGAAAGAGATGCATCTTTGCTCTGGAAATTGTTATTGAATATGTCAATGCTGTTGTAATGAAATACTTCTACTAATTATGCAATTAGTGAGTATTTACCCAAAAGTAGATCAAGCAATTATGGCCAAACTTCATCAGTCATTTAATCCAGATAATGGGTATGTGGGGTTCATAGTTCAATTCTTTCAGCTCTTTTTTTTTTGGTTTATTTGCTTGTTCAAGATACGGTCTCACTATGCAGTTGTGGCTGGCTTGGAACTCACAAACTAGACCAGGATGGCCTTGAATTCGGATAGATCTGCCTGCCTCTGCCTCCTAAGTGCTGAGATTAAACACTTTTGCCACCACACCTAGCCTTTCAACTCTTCTTTGTTTGACTTTTTATAGTAAGAATTAGTTGTAGAAAACTATAAAGAAAAAATAAACAAGGCTCACATTTTTGTTTAGAAGTCTATGAATGAACTTCCCATTCCACTATCTCTGCATATTCTAATGACAGTCTTATTTTACTGGTAGAATAGTTAGTGATCACAAAAAATCAAAAAGTTATTGCAACAGTAAGGCCCGGGTTCAAATCCCAGCACCCACTGTCTGTAACTAAAGTTCCAGGCACAGTTCCGACACCTTCTTCTGACCTCTGTGAGCATTACACAACACAGGTGCACTTACTCATATACATAAAATTAAAATAAATTAAAAAAAAAGATTCTCAGGTAATAAAAACATCATTAAAGGCCAGGTATGGTGGCACACGCCTTTAATCCCAGCACTTGGGAGGCAGAGGCAGATGGATCTCTGTGAGTTCAAGGCCAGCCTGGTCTACATAGTAAGCTTCAGGCCAGCTGGGACTAC